GTGCCAATGTGCGTTGTCATCGACTCTCGACTTGCGACTCTCGATTCTCATTGTGCGGCTAACAAAAGTTGTTGCCGTTGTGTTTGCAGTCTAATAAACATGCCGCCGCGCTGTCTGTGCGACACACTTACCAACCAACAACAAAACTTGGTGAGTGGGTCCAATAAAAGTTAGAATATGCCCACTAACAAAGCGAGTATACCAAAAAAGCACATTTCTGGCCCGTAGCAGCACCGAAAAGCTGCCAAACTTGGCAGGGAACTGTTAATTCTTCCAGGATTAGCAAGTTTTAAGCTCCGAAGAATGTGGAACAATGGCCATGCAAAGCTAAGATCATAAATTTTAAAGAGAGGGGTTGGAAGGAACTGATATGATGTTAATCCCGCGTAAGTCAAACAGCTACAGCAAACTCATAAAATTACGGTGACATTTATAGCTGGAGGTGCTGCGTACAGCAGAGTTCAAAAAAATAGTCGATGTAATGAGTTAATAGAACTACTATCCATGCCCAAATTGTATATATGTATATTCCTGCCATTTATCATCCATGTTTTCCCAACTCAAAAGTATTTTCTTCAATTATAGCGAAACCCAACTCTGATGATAATTTTGAGCACAACTGTGAGTCCGTACACAACAAAAATCATCATAAAGCTGAGCCCCCTCGCGGACCCGAGATAATCGTTTCGAGCATTTAACGCATTTGTTGGGGTAAAAAACAAAAACGAAAATCAACCCGAGAACGGCACACAGTCCACTCAAATTTCACTTCATTTATCACGAAATCCATCATCAGCCAACGGCCATCAGCAGCAGTTAGCAAAGGAGCTGGAAAGTCTGAAAGATGAAGGAGAGCCAAGTTACTTGCATTTATTTGATTTTGATTAATCGTCAACGAAATTAAGCGGAATTTCTGGATGAGGCGGTAGTTTCATTTTGGGCCGGCAGGAAGCCGCATTTACATATGCCCGAGCTGCATGTGTGCGAGTACGTGTATCTGGCAGATACATATCACTGCACTTGCCCAGCCCCACAGCGAATTCCATGCCAATGTTTTGACAAACAGCAGCAGCTGCCGCCTACTCAGCATTCAGCATATCCGCGTCTTTCCCGTGCAGCGCGCAGATGCGCAGTGGCTGCAGTGCATAACTCGGATGGATGGATGGATGGAGCACCAGGACGGACGCGTCATTTTCACGCGCCCTGTGAGCTGCACACACATGTGTGCTCCACACGCTGGCGACAGATCGCATCGGGTGATCCAGAAAACAGGATATGCGCACGCTGCACTCGGAGAACCGCAGCAGAACAGCAAACAGGCAAGACGTGGCTGAACAAACATATCTCAGTCGAAAATAGTGTGGTTTGATTAAGAGTTAGTGGAATAATCTGTAGTTGATCACGGGACGACGGCTCGAAAGGAAGTGCTATAGTAAATAACAATAACAAATAATAACAATATACAGTTCAATCTGAGACATTTAAGTGAAATGCTTATTTATATTTATAAAGCATATACCCTAGTTACAATGTGCTATTACCTTATGCAATTTTCTCGGAACGAATCGCACAATTTACGCCGCCCTCTTCTCATATAAAAATCCCTCAATAAAGAGAGAGAGAGTACAGCCACGTTAGTCATTGTCACTGGGCCGAGTAAATCAGGTTTTATTTGCATTCCCTGCCATTTTCAATTCCGAGAATAATTCGTTAATCTTTAATCTGATAAGCGCATCGCAATGGACAGCCTTCAATTGTGAATATTGTATTCAAATTGAAGATCATGAGTGAAGTCAATGCCAGAGTAATCGCTGATTTAAAACGAATCCACGTAGCCGAGAGATATGGCCATATTAGTATGTCGCCTTACTTTTTCCGTCTGAAGACGCGACGGATGTCTAGCCGGTGACTTTCTGCTGATCGGTCAGAACGCATCGCTCGGAAGGCCCAACAAATCAATGACCCCCTTCTTTGCGTGTGCTTTTCGGCCGGGGGAAAATCGACAGGTTGGCATTTAAACTTAATTTAAATAAATGCAATTTCGCCGAGGAAATGTGCGAAAAGTGCTGGTAGCAGCAAATAAACATAAGAAAGATGTATGTTCGACATGGCGATGTAGTTTATGGTTGCAATGCATTTTTTCCTAGCATGTATCACAAATCTTTGAAAAGACCTTTCGGTTATGCGCAGTGGCGACTAAAAACGCTAGGAAAACGCACTCGAAATACAGCCACACGCTCGTCGTAAAGAGAATCGTGCGCCTAGGTACTTGAAGTCTATACTATGTATTTATTTTGTTTTTGAGTTGCTTTGCGCTTATTATTATTATTATAACTATTTTTGTTTGTTTACGCGAACGGGCGGCGGACGACAATATTGATAAGATTAGCTCGGGTACTCGGAAACCACCAAACCTAGACCCTAAACACAGCCGCCTGTCGGTCATATACCTGGGAATTAGTATTTACTGCCCCCCAAAACCCACACTTGTGCGCTCTTATCAGCGTACGTCGTTCCATATCAGCCAGAAAGCACAATTTGTTGGCTAGGTGATTCCACGAAACATTTAGAGTACGTCGATTCCATCGCAATAGTACCCTGCCATATAGATTCATGACAGCTCTGCACTTGTTATGATCGAAGTGGAACCGAAACTGGGTCTCCATCGGGGCCATCGGAGCTTACTATTTCAATCAAACGCCGACTTTCCTTCAAAGGTTTTTCGGGGAAATCAACTCGATTGCCAGATTTTCCGATTTCGGTCGTGGGTGTGCCCGGTCTCTTTGTCTTTCGGACTGCTACAATGCCCACATCAAAAGGTGTTTTTCGTATTTGCTGCGCTTTCGAGGGATTTTATCTGCTGTCTGTTGTTTGGCATTTGGTGCGATTTGTCATGGCCGCAACCGACTGACCAGGAGGACCAGGAACGACCAAGGGGACGGGAGCCACCCGTGGCGAATTTATTATTAAGAGACCAAGGCCGAGAATGCCAACTGCACAAAGCAAATCAAATACAAAGCTGAGAGATTTGCACCTGGACGGATGCACAGACGATTGGCAGGCCAACCAAAACCTAAATCAGCAGTGGTCGCTGGCATAAACTATTGTTTATACTACCAAACTATTAAGTTTTACTAATAAAATATGTAGACATATGTAAGCATTCATGGCCACTTATAAAGTAATAATACTAAAATCTTCAACTGCACTTGATTGCAATGCATAGTAATAACTAATGGCTTATAATATTATATTATTTTATTAAATCCATAAGTGAGACTGATTGCTTTAAATTGCCTGCATTTATGGCTTAGATGTCTGGTACAATCCGAAGCTAATAACTACCCAAGATATCCGAGCGTACACTAAACTTGAATGTTATCAGAGTGATTAAAAGATCAAGCAATGCGTTGTTCCAAGAGGATGAAAAGGGATTATATCAGTGTGTATCCAACACGCGCGGTCGTAAAACTCAGTTGGCTGTCTAGGCCCAAATCAAATGCTCAGATGCATATCAAAATAATCTAAGCAAATGAAATGACAACAAAGTTGGGCACACAAAAAGACATAAAATATGTGCGTACAACACCCCAGAAAAGGAGTTGGAGAAAGGGGCACCCATAAAATTGACAGCTGATCTTTTTCTCTCCCTTTTTATTTCGATTTATTTTTTGGTTTTTTCTTCTTCTGTTTTTTTGGTTTTTGGGTATCCACTCTTTCAGCAAGGGGTGCCCGGATTGTAGTTCCCTGTTGCTCTTCGCATTATTTGTTCGTTTTCCATCTTTCAGAGCGGCTCGGTTCTACCTGCTCAGGGTCATAAAAAATTAAGAAAAACATGCACAACTCCAGAAAGGAGCGGAGGAGAAACGTCGCATATTTTAAGCCGCTGGAATCGGAATCTCCTTGGGCTGGTCAGGAGCGCCGAGATCCCAGACACACTTGGCATAGAACCAGAGTTAAACAACAAAACGCAATTAGAAACGAATTTCAATTGAATTCGGTAGGGGCAAGGGAGGGGACGGGAACGTGGACGGGGAGAGCATAGGAAAACCAACAGGATATGCCCACAGATTTGTAATATGAGCGCTGAATACTTATGAGACCATGATCATGCCGCTGATAATGGCACTGCTATTTAGATGGCCATGTCCGCCGATCCACTGGCCGATAAGCGACAGGTCTGAGCCGCGGTGAAAGCTTGGGCAAATCTCCCAGAGTATCGCAAGTAAGACCATAAATGCTCAAAGAGCCAATTCCCAGGTTAAATGGCAGTAAAGGAACCCAATCGAATTGTAAGTACTCCTCTTTTACGAGCAAATAATTAAATAAAAACCACTTTTATTGTGAAAAACTGGTAAGATCACTGGTTTAATGTTGGTAGTTTTTACAGCTCAGAAAATCATGATAAGGCACAAATCTGGTTTGCTATTTATTTAATAGTGTCTGCTAAAAGCCCTTTTCGTATGTTTTTTATAGCTACTTATTGTGGTATTACACCGTTAAAAAACAGCACACAAAACTGGTTTAAATATTACAATCATTATTATGATTATACAATTATCATGTCTAAAAATACTTTTATTAACACAAAGGAAATGGCCCTCACACTTTTATCAGCTTTGTGATTTTATCTATCCGCAATACTTATCGTTGTCATACTAACAAGTTGTGATAATAAATATTAAAAAATGTTGTTTGCTTTATCAAAATTATGTTTTCTACTTTGCAGTTGTATATAGAATAAGAAAAGAGATTGTCACTTGGATATTTATAGTACAATTCGGAAATCTATCTAAGGAATAATGTTTAACGAACTAAGAGCTTGAGAAGAAGAGGTAATCATTCAATTTTCTACATTACCCCTTTTTCTAAAGTCCCAAGACAAAGCGATTGAAGTTAACAAACTAATATACCCCAATAGAATGCTGGACAATTGTTTTCCCCCGTTTTCAAGGTGCACGAGAGAGAAAAAGGCAGAGAAATGTTATATTAATATTTACCATGAGCCTTCTTCTTTCTGGATTTCGGCGCCATGTCTGATGGCTACAACAATAACAGCAACAACAGCAACAACAACAACGACGTGGGCCAAAGGCTGATGATTTTTATACGGCGGCGGCTGCAATGCAACTTAGTTGTTGTTGCCCCAACCGATCGGTTCTTGGTTGTTGTTTTTGTTGGCCTTCCTCTCTATATAGAGAGGGTATCGGGATCCCGGGTGTTTTGGGGCCAGTTCCCCCTTCGATAACCCCGCGTTGCCACGTTTATTTTTTCCGGGCTGTGCAGCAAAACAATAAACGCGAGGCAGCAGCAGCAGCAACAAGAGCAAAACAAAAGCACCAGGAGAACTGGATTCGTTGTATCTCGTCGAGTCTTTGCGTTGTTATGGAGTCGCGGTCGCAGTCGCAGTCGAAGTTGGAGCTGGAGCTGGTGCTGGAGTTGGGGTTGAGGTTGCCGTTGGACTCCTCAAGACTTGGGTTTGTTTATAGGCAGGCGGCGGCGGTCAAGCCGGCGACACCACGGAGCCCGCGAAGAGCAGAAGATGCGGAGCAGGCGGAAGATGAGCGAAATTATGGGTTTCGCCAAAAACTTGATCCTGCTGGTGGGGCTGCTGCTCTGTGCCGATGTGCTTTTGCTTTTGCTTTGGCTTTGAGTTGGTGTGAGCGCGTGATCACGTTGATTATAATTATATACGAAAGGTGGCAATACAAATCAGGTGAAACTCAATCCGCATTTGACGCATATCCTGTGTGTTTCTGGTTGTTTTTCCCGTGTTTACACTATTTTCATTATTCACACTGGCACTTGTTTAAGCATAGAAATATTTGTGCAATTTTCTATTTAAATCATTAACTACAGATTGCCTTTGCTGCACATTTATTATTGGTTTTATTGTTAGTTAACAATATTTCTGCTTAGGCACAGGTATTTGGTTGAAACTCGAAAATATTTCACGCGTAAACAAAATCGACGATTCTTTGGATTGTATCTGAAAATGTGGTTTCTTTTCCAATCCCGTGGATACGTCACGACTCGCGGAGAACGTATCGACGAATGTGCAACAGTTGGAATCGCCGCTGCTGGTAGACCCGAAAAAGAGAGCAAAGAGAGTGCGCTGCTCTCGCAGAGAAAGGAAAAACATGAGAGCGTGGCGGAAAACGCGAGAGTGCGCTGCTGGCAGGCGTTTAAAATCGCGCCACTCACACAGTTGCTAGCGTTTAAAAACGCGCGTAAGGTAAAGATACTCTGTCTTCTGGGCTCTCTCCCTTTGCATTTGTTCTTGTTTCGCCAGCTCTCACTTGAATTTCAAGTTTTTTTCGTACAAAGGTGTGTGCGTGTGTATCTTGATCTTTGAGTTAGCATCGCAGTGCCGTAGTTGTTGTTGTTCGTGCTCGTATTTCTTGAGCTGCTTATTATAACTGACATATCTAGATGTGGAATACGTGCATATGGTGGGGAGGTATGGGGAGAATCGGAATAGCCTGCATAATTGCAGGGCCCTTTTGCATGCACACTATGTGCAAGAAAATAACAGTTTTGGTCGAATTTGTAAGCGACCAAACGTGTGATTAGCAGCAACACCATTGCCAACTAATAGAACTCCGCCTCCTGTTCTCCCGAGCGCATCCATAAGATAGAATCCCACAGCCACCATCACCGCAATTGCATCCCCAAGATATCAGTTTTCCAGGCTCTGCAGACTCATTAGCCGCACAGTAGTCGCTGCTAATTATGGCCTAGACTCTGAGGCTTACCATTCTTCTACCTGTGGAAATCAGAAGCGCTTAGCACTTCGGGCTTCTTCAGGTAACTCCTGGCATTAAAAACGCATTTGAACCTGCGGACGACCTCTGTGATCCGCGCATAACTTGCTCATTTTGTTTATTGCTAGCGATAACACCCGCCAGAATCTATGCCCCCCGAACCTAAACCTCCACCTTGGCCACATCTTTCTAATTTCACACAAAAAATATATAACCAAGTCTCAGCCATCACTACAAAAAATATGTATATACATGAATACAATTTTATTATTATGGCAAGAATATTTTATGTGTATACCGACAAATTGGGCTTTTATAAAAGTAATTTATAACCAAATATAAAGAGTTTTCTTAATATAAGTCGCACGTAATTTGACATTAACTAAAGTTTTTCTTCGTGCATTTCCACTTGAGTTCCAGTGGTGATCTTTCGTTTATTATCGCGCTCGCGGCCATAATTCATTTCGATCTGGTTCGGGGTCTGCTCTGCTTTTGTCTAGTCAAAATCTCTGGATGATGCCCCCAGCTCCAGTTCCAGCTGCAGCTCCCTAAATGCCCGGATTGTGGATGTGGCTGCTGCTGCTGCTGGTGGTGCCTCCGAGGTGTGATTTCTCAAGTGTAGGAGTCATGCGGTGCACAGCCAGACGCTGAGAGGTTGCACCAGAGAAAGAGAATCGAGGGACAGAGAAGGAGACACAGAGGGACTTGGATCCAATCGGCCAGAGGGCAACTGTTCGTGTACCCCTTTCGAGAGGAGCCAAGAAATAAAGTTGGATCTGGGGATGCGATCAATTGAGTGTAATGGGTAGCAGCATACCATTTATATTTAGCTCGTCAGAGGAATTAAAAGGACTTAATATGCCATTTGTTATCTTATCATTGCTTTCAAAGGGGCTCTTTAAGCAAAATTTATTTAGTTTTGTTTTTATCTTTTAAGTCAATATTTTTTTAAATATAGAAAGTGATTGAACCGATAAGGTAATATTTCGCAATGATATAAACTTTTGATCATAAACCTTATTATTACTGAGGCGATTATAAATCTAATTACTCTTTTAGACAGACTTTTAAAACTCTGTTAAAAAGCAAGATTTTATCATTTACTGGTCCGCTACGCTTGAGAAATTGACAGTTTTGCAGTTAAGTAGAATGTGCAGATGGCATGACTTGTGGATAGCAATTGATTAGAAGCTGAATTCTGAAAGTATCTCTAGCGCGAAATTTTCGAACGATCCGTGCTAATTCTCACAATAGGAGATCGCGAGTATTCGCTGCATTGTCCAATTAGCACCTGTGCTAAAAAAAAGCCTGTAGATTTGTTCGTTCCATTAACACTGCAATGTGCTCTCGAAATTGTTTGCTCTTTCGTTTGAGTGGAAAGGCGGGGTCTAAAGGTTGATTCTAACCATACATACATATTTACTTTGAATTTTAGACAATAGAAAATCCATGCTGGATTTTCGAGTATTTCGTGTGAAAAACGCTATAGGGCGGGGGAACACTATTCCATCCATACAATAAACACAAAACGGGGCCGACACTCCCAGGGAAAAGGCCAGACAAACTGGCGGGCCAAATGTATCTGTGTCTGTAACGAATCCGACAGTATCTCTGGAAATATTGTTAGAACTGAGCATTAGATACACAAAGCTGCAGAGAGGTGAACCCCGGGTCACTGCAACATGGCCAACAGATGTGCGCAACAGGCTCCCAATCAACGAAATCACCAAAAATCAGACAAAAGACGAAGGTCTCGGGAAAGGTCCAAGATGTCACTTGGAGTGTGGCTGGACCCTAAATCAAAGTCAGGCATTGCTACCCGATTGTTCTGCGTCTTTTCTGTTTTCCTCCTTTAGTCTTTTGGTCGGTAGCACTGTCCAGCATCCCATGGATACCAGTCTGTGTATCTGTATCTCTGCAGCATGGAAATTTTCGAATTGTACCAAAAATTTGTGTCAACGTGGGCGACACTTTATTGTGTGCCCGTGTTGTTGGGTGTGTGTAAAAATAAACCAAAGACATTTCATGTTGTCAGCAACATATGGAAAAATGCTTGGAATTCGTTCCGTTCCTGCACACTTTTGCAATGAATTAAATCTGATAGATACACACATGAAAACCCGAAAAGCAGATCACCCTGGCAGCTCTGCATTAACACCACTAAATCTCCACTTCGTCAAAAAACTGAAGTGCAATTACCCAGGCACCAACTCATATTCGATTCTATCTCAGGCTCCTTCCTTTCGTTCTGCTGCACTTCACGGTCCCAAGGTGAGGTGTTAAAGTTTTATGGAATTTCAACAACGATAAATTATAATTACACGCTGGGCATAAATCTACCCACACAATCACAGTGCTATAAAGCACACAGATACTCCTCTGCCACATTGCGAGTGCAGGCGCGTCAAACATAATTTGTAAAAACATTAAGTATTCCCCCCATTAACACCTTTCGAGGGTGACTGCAGCCGATCCCCCCCATAATATATGTATTCCCAAACAGAACTTAATGCCAAACGAACTGCCAAAGGAGGAAAGGTCTTCCACAGATGGAACCCAGCTGAAGTCTAACGAGAATCGTATGCCGCATTTGGCGAGCGTCGTTCACCGTCCTCGATAGTATAGTGGTTAGTATCCCCGCCTGTCACGCGGGAGACCGGGGTTCAATTCCCCGTCGGGGAGATGCGAGAGCATTCTTTTTTCAGTATCTTTTTTTTATTTAAAGTTAATAACAATTAAAATAAATCTTAGAAGTTCGTTAGCGTGTATGTTGGAGTTTTTAGTGATCTGTTTCAAACACATTTGCAATTGCTAGATTATTTTAAAAAGATCTATTGGTTTGCTTACGAAACAAAATGCTTCTGCGCTATCAGAATAAAATTTAAAATGTGTGCATAGGCAATTAATAAATATACCATTTCTTTAGGTAATTATGAAAAACAACATAAAATAGGTATATAAACAGAAAAAAAATGCTTTACACATCTCCCCGACGGGGAATTGAACCCCGGTCTCCCGCGTGACAGGCGGGGATACTAACCACTATACTATCGAGGATGTTGAACAGAACCCGCCAAATTCAAAATATTGCCTAGCTGTTGATCTATACAGCAGGGTGTACTGATCAAAAGTTATTAATATAACCAACAAATAAAAAATATTTTTAAGATAAGATATGCCATCCTATGCTGATTTATCACACAATAAACTGTATAGAAACGTGTGCTGGTTGTTGACCAATTAAAAAAAGTGGGTACGCTCACCATTTTTCATGGCCTTGCTTTTCTCGTTGTCGGCATCCTCGTATCCCTCAGATCCTGGTACAGATCCCATTTCCATGCCACTTAAAGCGGCAGCGGCCATAGCTTCGACGTCTGGCTGAACATTCGCACTGAATTCACCTACGGGGCAAACAGAAAAACGGGCAATACGAAATTTAAGTAAATTGAAAAACTGTGTAACTAATTTGTAAACAAAAAGGGAGAGCGGGTGGGAGTCTTGGCACTTGAGTTGCTCTTCTGTGGCGCCAGGCAAATGTCAATTAATAATTTAACAACAACAATTGCGCGTTTGTCGGGCGCCTGAAATACGAGATCTTAATTGAAAATAGAAACAGAGAAGGGGGCATTGAAGAGGAAAGGGGAGCAGTACCAGCGGAGAATGGGCAACTTCAACTCTCTTCCTGCTGAAAGCGGATGAGCGTGGGCCAAGTAGACAGCTAAACGTGTGTCATAAACTTGGTCAAAAGGCCGCAATATTTAGTGCCTCTACGCAGACGGCTGCGCTCAGAACCAGTTGCCAAGTAGTCAGAGAGGCATCTTTAAGATACTGTTTGACAGCTTGCCGAGATTACGTCTAGTTCTGTCGTCTGCACGCCACAGACTTGGAGGATGACGTTCCTCGACGGCTCAAAGCCCACGCAATAAGCGCGACTGGAAAACCAAGAAAGCCCCCCTCCAGGACTAGGTGCAAGAAGCCCACTGGGCAACTTTCAGAGGAAATCAGCGGAAGCGACTCAGACGCCATCTCTGCGGAAGGGGTTAGGCCTCCTCGAGGTGTTTTTGTTTTGTGTGCTGTATCCATGTTTCTCCACACTCACTTTGCCAAAATTAATGAGCGAACTTCATCGTAATTTGATAAACAGAAAAAGTGATTGGCGCTCAGTGGGGGCTTATCAAAACATTAGTTATTATTTATGATGCGTCTCATTTCGAGAGCTGCTATATAATACGTGCGCCACTCGACGGGCAATTGAAATCGGGCGCATGTTGGGTGGGCGAGGAAAGTCGCGATTTTAATCCGAATCTGTCAAAACGCGATA